GTTGTCGGTCCTGGTTCGCGGTCAATATTATTAAAAAAAAATGCCCTTTTACTCTCAACCCTTCCCTCTCAAAAATATAACTTAACAATCCAAAACAATCCCTTTAATAATATTAAATAAATATAATAAACATTACTACAAGTCCACATTATTTATGCACATATAACATTACATCTTATACATATTAAATCTTCCCCAATCAATCCCGTCTTCATCCAATATCATGTCTTCTTCACTCCAAATCGCAAACAAAGAAACTTTTATTGTTCTTTTCTAAAAACAACCCATGTGATCTTCTCGTTCTGCTCTCATCCACAAGGAAACATTAATTCCCCTGCCAGAAAATAACTGACATTTTCAGTATTATATTAAATTTATCAACAGCTACAACAGTTTGGTTTGTTAAATTTTTCATAAAGATGCTTTTTTTTAAAAAACAAGAATTTGAATTATATTTATTATTTTAAAAATAATTAACTTTTACTTATTTTTATCAATTATTGCCTATAGTAATATATTGTATAATTTTTAGGGAAATTTTCCATTGGATAAATCTCTATATTATAATTTATTGAGGTTTAGCATATTTTTACTATGAATATTTTAATTAATATTTCCACATTATCATTCTTTTTAAATTTACCGATATAATATTACTTTATTGTTTCAACATTATAAGTATTAACTGTTATGATAATGTTAAAATGTGCAACCCTGAATTCATAGTTAGCGTGAATACGCGCCCAAGTATACAAAATTCGCAGCGGAGAATACAGAAATACAACATATTTGTATACTCAGTCGCGCTGCATTCACAATTAGAGCGAATTTGCAGCGAAATATAAAAAAAATACACAACATATTTTTTATACTTGGCCACGAATTCCTTTTAACTGTGAATGCAAGGTTAAGTTTTTATCATTTTATTGAGTTTAACCCATAATAACTAAAAATATACTTTAAGATTCTAGAAATGTAAATTTATTTTGCATCTTTCTTTATGCACCATTTATATGTCGTTTATATATATGTAGACATTTTTTACCAATGTGTACATTAAGAATGCCCCTTACTCTCAACCCTTCCCTTTAAAAATATAACTTATCAATCCCAAACAATCCTTTTCTAATAATTAAATAAATACCAACAATGAACATTACCAACTAGGACAACCACATTGTTTAATTTCATGTTATACCATATTTTAATTATGTTCACATCAAAATAATTTATAAATGTTTCATATTCATAAAAATAGTTCAAATCCCAATATATCTTCTTTGTTCTTTCCCAGCTAGCATCTCCTGATCTCCCATTCTCCCTTCTCCCCCCAAGGAAAATTAATTGTTCATGTCATAAAAATGACTGACATTTAGTATATTATATTAAATTTATTTCTTCTTTTTCTAACTGCTACAACAGTCTGCATATATACTTTCATGTAATATAATTTAAGGATAAATTATAATATTTGAATTTGTAAAAATAAATCATTGAAAATAATATGTAAAATAATTCAATTATTTAATTTAGTTTATCAAAAATGATTTATTTTATGTTTCTAAATTTATATTAAAAATATTCAAGTAATTTAAGATCTATGAGTATTGGAAATGTATCGTTTTTAATAGAAATAAGTAAAATATTTATAGTAATACCCTATAATACATCGAAATTTTATAAGTATTGCACGTTTACCGTTTCGATACAAATAGAACATATCATACAGTATCATCGATATAATATCGCGTTACTTTCGCAACTATGTATAATATAGAAATTATATCAATAAATGATAAGAATAGATAATTTATTATGTAATTCTAAATGATTTTGAGAATATATAAGTTTTAACTAATTTACTTTTGAAAATATAATTTGACAAACGTCACTTTTTATGTAACTTGTAACTGGAATTAGTTGCTTTTCAAAAGCAAACGCATATGTTATATTTAAAATCCTTACTATAGAATATGTTTTAATAGTTCAGATCCAGATTCTTATTTAAAATGTTATCTATTGTCAATTATTTTATTATTAAAGCGGATTTAAATTGTTTAGGAATTGATTACAACACTTTCGCTTTAATATTATATTTAAATTTTAATGCTTTTATAATTTTACATGTATAAATTTAAATTCTATTGAGCTAATAATTTATACAAAATCAATAGCATAGAGATATTTTAATTTCATTAAAGACTATACTATTTAAGTTGCGGAAATGAAATCGATTATTAAAATTTTTAAGATTCAATTTAAGTTATATTTTCAAATTTTTATAAATCATATAATGTAATCAATTTTTTTTAAAAAAGATAACTTTTTCATATTGAAATACAATATCTTATAAAATAAAATAATTTATATCTATGATCTCTCATATTTATAACTTTAGTAAATTTTCTTATCAATTAATAAATGTATTTTAAAATAATTCATCCAGAAATTGAAATATATAATCGTGAGTATTCCATCTATATTAGTAAGTTTCAAGTTTTTTATTATTTTGCTAATATTTATTTAAGAAAGTTTTTATAATAAAATACCTATTGAGCCAGGTCAGTTTCATGAGTTGCTTAAATTTATGTAATGAAATATTTAAAATTTTACGGGGCTTTCGGCAAAAAAAGAAAGCAGTATACTTAAAAAATTATATATAAAATGTGATTATCATTATTTTAATTCACATTTTATCTTATAGTTTTTTATTTTTATTAATCAAGATTTTTCGGACATTTATGATTTAGAGTGCTTTAAAATAGAAAAAATAAGATTTAAAAAAAAATGACTATATGAGTAGGAACCCATCATAAAGCTATTATTTCATTATGCTAAATAATTTTTGTTTCAAGTATTTTTTTTCTCACTGAATGAATTTAACAAGAATCATCTTTTGTCAGGATTTACCCCAAGTCCGGAGTATTCCCGGGCACAACCAGCATATTTACGAACAAATGTTAATTGGCTTTATTTTAATAAAAGATGATTTTAAAATCAACAAATAATATAAATAAACTTTATTAGTGAATTTAATAATCAATGAGGCTCAGCATTGACCTAATGTTTGCTATGATCCTAATAGTACTTTGTCCTCGTGCATTTTTAAAATTTTGTTATAATCATTACTAGTAATACATTTATGATTATTTTAATTTAGAAATTTTCACATTTAAAAAATTATAAAATTTTTTTATACTGTCCAGTAATTACCCCGACCGGCATATGTTCAGAGGTAGTATCTACATAAATCGATCACTATGAAATAAATCTTTGTTCAAAATCGTTGAAATTTTATTTTATATTTGTTAAGTATTCAAAGTTGATCCCTGTATCAATTTTATGGCGGAACTTAAATAAATTCATTTTAAACAAAAAATTTAGCACACTTTATTTTTACTTTTAGTAATTAAAAGATTTTTTTTGCATTAAAATTTTTCCAAAGTGTTTGAAGCTGTTTTTCTTTTCACAAATCGATTTTTTTTATATAAACCTATTTTAATCATAAATTTAAAGTCTCAAAGTCAAATTGTTTCTAGATACGAAAGCTGCCCGGATCTACCCCATGTCCGAAGTAGCCTTGGTCTCCATCTATATCTTTATAATTTTTCGGGCTAAAATTGTGCATGATTCAACAATCAAAATTACTTTTTTAATTCTCTCTAATTCTCATACTGGATTCATTATAATACAAAATAACAGACTAACATATACTATATTTCCATCGGTAAAGGAAAAGCATTAAATTTATGCCTCTCATAAGACAATGGTGGTTGTCATGGGACATAAGCTCAAGCTTGTCCAAAAAAAATATATCGAAACTAAATGCAACACTATTTAATTTTTTCTATGGGCTTGGGAGAGGCAAATCCTAATATTAAAAAAAAATCCTAAATGAGTCGATGACTTGGGTTTAAATTATTTTTCCTTATATACTATATTGTAATCCTGAACCTGAATAAGGTTAATATTTTTTTTTAAAAGTGTGGTGAGCTATATCGAAGACTTTGGGCCTGGCTTCGACTTCAATCAGAAATCTATGAGCTAGGACCAGATATTCACTCGAAACGAGTAGTAAAAATGGATTGATATCCAGATCGGGTCAAAAATATTTAGGACCCCTTATCGTGTTAGGACAATAAATTGAAGTATCTATTAGTTGAAAAATTACCTGATGAATCATATAACATGCATTTACTTTTCATTAATATCAATTTCCCTTTAACCTTTGATAAAATACCATTGAAAATGACCAAATTTCAAAAACCCAGATCGGTTCGATGAATAAAATTAAAATTAAAATTAGCGCCTGATTTAGATATTTGGGCCTCTCCGTGTCTGTTCAAAATATGATCATGGGATGAGAAATATGACTACAATAGTTTATGAAGGTCTTTTTCTCAAACATAAATAATATGTTATTTAATGGTCTAATATGAAATTTACCAAACAAATATTTGCATTGCTTTGCATTTCATATTTGAATTATTTGAGAAATTTAAAAAAAACTTTTGTATATAATAACATTTTGACCAACTATGACACCATTAAGAATTTGATTCATTGATATTTTTTATTAAATTTGAAGTATAATGCACCGCACCATCTAAGTTATATTATATTACTTCTAAAAAAACAGCTGTAATATAACAAAACAATAATAAAGCTAGTTATTAATAAAAATATTAATCAAAATTTTATTTTTTATATAAAATTTAAAATATCTTATTGCAAAACTTTTATTTTTTCTAATATTTGAGTGAGTTTTCAATAAATCAATATAATTTATATTTAATCAAGATGTTTCATTATGCTTTCATTTTTTGTTACAAATTGCACCATATTTTTAAAATTCATTTTTTTAAATATTATCAATTTAATTTTTTTTATTTTAATAACCACTAAGAAAATATTGGTAAAAAAAAAGTGAATCGAGTTATCACAGTTTCTTTTATCGGTGACCTAAATGTTATATTTTCAAATTATAGAAATAAAAATAATATAACAATACATTCCTGTTAATCATTGAAATGTTTATATCTATCTGCCTATCCTAAATCAAGTTTAACATACTAATTTATCTTTGACTGACATATTATCGTTTGATTATGTAAAGAATTTGATCTAACTAACCACATCTTTGTTTAATTGAGCTAGAGTAAATTCATTCGCATTTAAAAAAAATCGAAATCTAATAACCAGTCTTTTATTATAATGACTACTTTGTAAAATTGCCTAAAACATGAAGTTAAAACTTTAATTGCATCAAGTCACAATATAGTCATTATTGTGTTTATAATATTTAAATCTACCTAAATATATTCGTTATTTTTTAAAAAAAATTATATATTTTTTAAGCAGATAATGAACCTATATATAGACCTATAATACTCTAAAAAAATTAAAATTTAATTTTCTAGATATATGTTGTTTATTTTTTTTCAAATATATATAAGAAAAGGACAAATGTTAATCAGCTATGTTTTAAAATATAACTATTCTATAATTTTTGCTAGTAATTTTATAACCAATTTATCACGTTTGCATACCGATAAAATTGAATTTGCTTAGTTTTTATATTTCTAGATTGATTCAAGTATTGTCTGACATCTCCAAATGTGTTTCTTATTTATCTATATCTAATTTAATTGAGAACTTTATTAATCTAAAAAAAGTATTATATGAATTATGATTTCTCAGGGTCTCATTAATACCAGTGTTAGTTTTTTCACATATAAGTTGAACCCCATGACCCTTGTAATTATATCGATGGAATTTATGAAAAAATCAAAACCATATTTAAAAATTCATAAAAACTATTATTTATTTCGTAAACTGTTTTTTTTTAAATTCAATAATTCATAACCATTCTGTTGAGGAATAAAAAAACAATTTTCTGCAATCGAAATATAATTAAATTTATCAAATTTTAAATATTTGATTTTGAATGATAGTATCATATTGTAGAGAGATGTAGATTTATTTAATTTTAGTTATATAATTTTTAAATATCATATTTTGATATTAAATTCTTGCTATCCTTAAATTATAAATAATCTACATTCTGTACTACACTTATATAGATATTTTAAATGACCCGGGTCTTGCGATTATAAAAATCGAAATTCTAATAATCAAAATTATAAATAGAATATTTCAACAACCTTTATTACTTAAAAACCAACTTTTATAAAAACTTTGCTCCACTGTAATAGGGGTTTATCTTTTTATGATTATTTTAAATATTTAAAGCTGCAAATTTACCTTATAAAAACACCTATTTTTTTAAAGTAATATTTAGCATTAATATTTGATCAATAAGTGTAATTTAATACAATGACTATAAAAATATTATAATATCAATAAGTATAATTTAGTATAATGATTATAAAAATATTATAATATCAATGAAATTATAGATTAGCACTGTACTTTAATGCTACATGATATAATGGAAGTTTTGTTTTCAGAAAATTCTGACGAGTGTGCCAATTTTCTCAATGCAATAGTTGATGACATGCCGACAACTTCAGAAAATTATCGCAATCTAGAAAATATAAATATAAACACTACAACACAAAACTTCTCATCAATTGATGTCCGATGCAATGAAACTTTTCAACAATCTATTTCCGAGAATGAATGTGATAACAAAAATTACAAAAGAAGAAAGCATTCCGAAAATGATTCCAATCCCAACACATATACCGATGAAGGAAGTTGTAATTTCTTGAAAAATAAAGTGGGTTACAACGATTCCATAAAAATGTTTGTTGGGCAGATACCGAAGAGTTACGAGAACGAAGACATCAAAGCAATGGTCGAAAATTATGGCGGAGTTCAGGAAATTCACATTCTCAGAGAAAAAGCTACCTCGCAAAGCAAAGGTAATAGCATAGAATTAAACATTCATAAGGAGGGATTTTAAAAATAATTGAATTAGAGGGTCATTAAATTAAAAAAAATAGATGTTTTTATCATATTTTGATGCTCTTATTTTGATATTAGCACAAAATTATAAATATGAATACAAAATTTGACTAACATCATAAATATAATAAAAGCCACCTGAACCCTCATGGCAAAAGAGCTCAAAAGGGTAAAGTGTCCTCAAATTTTTATATAAACAACAAAGGCAATAAGAGGCACAGTAAGATTACTTTGCGAGAGTGTATCTGCACTATGGAGTATTATTAAACTTCAGGCTAACATATACACAGGGTTGGGCAAATTTGCCAAAAATTATATTCGAATACAGATGCAAATATACTTTTTACAAAATATATATTTTTTTTATATAAGTGACAATAACATAAATTTCTAAAAATTATATAAATAAAGTTAGATATAAAGTAAATAGATAAAACTTTCAAATTATACATTTATTAAAAATAAAAACTCCGAAATTATAAGAATTAAAATAAGAATAAATTTTTAAAATTATGGTATAATACTGAAAACGCTAGCACATCTAAATCAGAGAAAATAATTAGCAAGCCGTAATCCTACATCAAAAATATCTTTTAGTCTCTAACCCCCCCCCCCCCCCCCTCCATTTTCGCGTGGGAACCTTGATAAAAATATGAATCGAGTATAAAATTAATAGATCCACGTTAATTTTTAATATTATTTAATTTTCGAACATTCTCATTTAGCTTAAGACCATTTGGTCCAGGTAAATTTTTAATATTATTTAATTTTCGAACAATTTGTCATTTAGCTTAAGACCATTTGGTTTTCATCATTTTTAGACAACTGCAGTGGTAGATATCAACATAATAATATATTAAATTTAAGATAATATCTTTTATATTTTTTATAATTATTTAACATATCAGTATTCTTTACGTCTATCGTCTTTCAAACAATTTAATACTTATATTTTATTTGCTTAGAGAATCATTTGAATTAAATAAGTTATTTTTTATATTTTCTTCATAGAAGAATTTAGTGTTTTTTTTTCTCATTAATACAATAGCTATAGGTTGATAAAAATCTTGAGTTACAAAATTTATCTTACATATAGGATCAAATTTCCCATAGTATAGCAATTAGTTTGACATTGAGTTTTATCAATGGCTCTAAGGACATTATTTTACATTACTCTTAGAGATACTCTATTTCAATTTCTTCTAATTTATAATCATTCATTTAAAGTGATTTGTTCATTTTTTAAATTTCAATAGACCATTTAAGCTATCGTACACCTATTCCATCCATAGTATACAACTAATTATTTATTTTAAACCCTTTGATAATCCTTTGCGATTTTGGGTCTACCACAGTATTCCATATTTTAGTATTTGGCATGATTGTTAGCTACAAGATTTAAGGTCTGAGATTAGTATTGTTAAATGTCTCGATTTGCTGATTTTCTTTAAGATTTTTTTTAGATGGCTAAAGGTTTGGACATCTATTAGCAAAATCTCGAGGCTTAAATATTTTTATGACTTGAGTTAGCCGTTTTTAAAACTCGGCTAAAATCGAGACGTTCAACACCAGTATATGCAATGAGTACATTGTTTGTGATGTGCCATGCATATAATAGATTATTCTTTTTATTCTTAAAAATAAACAAATGATTTAAAATTTTGTTGAACTTAAACTATAAGCTATAAATTTATAGTTTCTGAAGGATATAAGTAAAACAAAACCGATAAATAAAAAAAAATAATATCAATATGTACAACTAAAAACTCGGATTAAAAATTTAATTTAAATTTTAAATACTAAATATAATTTAAATTTTAAATACTAAATATAATTTAAATTTTAAATACTAAATATAATTTATGTTTTCAATAAATAATTATATTTATATATTAAATAATATAGAAAAACAATATTTAAATCTTTTAAAATTTATGTTGATTAGATTAAGATTCCAATATTTTTCAAATTTTGTATCTTAGATACAAAATACTTTACAAATTTTGTAGACACAAATATCCTAGATACTGCCCAACCTTGCATATATGGTTTAAACTGTTTATATGAAATAATGATTCCTTCTTCGCAATATTTTATTTTTAATATTAATTTAATTAAATTAGATGATTATATTTTATGAACTTTTAAAAATTGCGTTTATATAGCGAATCTTATTATCTATTTTGGAAAGCTTTTAATAAAACAATTTCCTACACTTAATCTAATTTAAAAAAAATTGGTATTCAAGTATCTACAAATGAATAAAAATACGGTATAATATATAATGTGATTTACAATAGTTAATAAATATATATTTTTTTATATATAGAATATTAATTTGATTTTGATATAACATATAAATAATAGGTTGCTGCTTCGTAACTTTTGAAAATAGGAGATCTGCCTTAGAGTTCCAGCTCGCATGGCACAATATTAAAAGCCTACCGGGAGTCAATCAATTTTTTTATTATAAATTTTTCCTATTCTATTTCTAAGCATCTTAATCATTTAGGCCGTGTCCTAGTTCAACTTATTGCTAAACAGGCGGCTATTTGACGGCTATAAACTAACCAAAATAGGGTGTCCTAGTTCAAAGTTATTTAGCCTAGGCTAAACAGCAATAAGTGCCAAAAATAAGTTTAACCGGGACACAGCCCTACAACTTTATAAGTATTATTTCACGTATCACGCCAATACCGCGAAACATTTTCCGCGAAATGCATCGCGAACGTAAATGTTGATTATCGCGAAAAAATATTATAGCGAATGCATTACCGATAATTCATTATCGCCAATGCATCATAGCGAATGCATTATCGCGAATGCATCATAGCGAATGCATTAGAAATTCATTACCGTGAAATTATCATCAAGAATGCTCTAGAGCGTATGTATTATCACGAATGCAATATATTTGACAAATGGTTGATATAATTAATATAACGTATTAAAATTCCTTGCTGCTAATCCTATTTTTTAAGGAGTTCATCATTAATATGTTTTTATTTTTTAAATACATCGGAAACCATAAATTTATTACCTTTTGGGAAGTTCCTGGCCGATAATATTTTTCCACCGGATCTCTATTTTTCGAAGGAAATTCTTTAGACTCTCAAATTATATTGTAACTCATTTAAGACCTTTTTCAAAAAACCAGAGAACCAGCCTAATTAACGTTTCTATATTTATTTAACGTAGCGTTTTTAAATTTTTATTTCTAAAGCACGTCATCTGCTATTTATGAAATTTCGTATTTTATTAAAATATATATGGAATTTAGTATCCTCAATTTTTTTTTAATAATTAGGTTAAGTCGTTTTTTAGAAAATTTGAATTACTAATATTTGACAAAAAATAACTTAAGACATTCATTTATTTTTATATATTTAAAAATGAGCTAGACGTATTCCCATTATGTTGATCTATAGCCGGGTGCTCGCCTTTTTTCAAATTTTTTTCATCTTTCTTTTTTTCCTTGTATAACACCTAACAATAAAGGCCAATTTGATTATTTCTTGTGAAATTAAGGGCTATATTTTACCAATTTTTCTTTCAAGTTTGTAAGATTCAAAAGGTTGTAGCCTATTGCTTGATAATTTTTCGGTATATGGAACCCATATTTTGAGGTCTCTTTAAATCTTGTTGAACTTTAGGAACATTCCACTTTTCCTAGAGAATTCAGGTAAACTTCATTAATCTATTTTATTGCGTTGAATCCTTTTTATATATTTGGAGTCAAAAAAATCAAAAGCCTTAGCTTTATTTAAAAAAAAATGTTTTTAGACCTGTCTAAAGGACGATAAATATAAAACTTTCATCAAACTACATTCCCGAATTGTAACTGATGTAATTCATTACGGATAATGCATTCGCGATCATTGTTCGCCATAATGCATTCTCTTTAATATTTTCGCGATAATGCATTTGCGATAATTCATTCGCTATAATGCATTCGCAATAATGCTTTTGCGGTAATACATTCGCGATAATTTATTCGCTGTAATGTATGCGCTATAATACATTCCCGATAACACTTTCGTGGTATTACATTCACGCTAATGCAATCGCTATAATATTTTCGCTGTATTATATTCTCAATAATGCATTCGCGATATTATATTAGAGGTAATGCATTCGCTATAATATATTTCGCGGTAATGCATTCACGATAATACATTTCGCGCTAAAATTTTGGCGGTATTGACATGCAACCATTATTCTAATAAGTTAACTAAGATTTATTTTAATTTTTCTGTTATTATAACTTTATGTGCAAGTTTGATTCTATTTTAAATCATATTTTAATTTATTTAGTTATTTAAATAATATTTAATCTTCAATTTTGGTTTAAATTTAACTAGCTTTTTTAAACCCACCACAATTAACCAAACTAAACAAAACCATAAATGTCTTCTCCATTCTCTTCTAATAAATATTTAACTTTGATTTGGTATTTATACAATACAATTATACAGAATAGATTAAGGCAAAGGTAACCAATTAAAGGAATATTTTTCTAAATTGTTACTGAATTAGAATTTATGTATTCATTATAAAAATATATTATTTAGATGAGGCATGCAGTACAAATAAAACCCGCGAACGAGTTATCCAAAAATGGTAAAAAAAATAAATAAATAATATTTCTATTTATAGTGTCAATTTTATTTATTATATCTATTTAAATATAGTCTATATAATACAGTCATAGATCTAAGAATTTAAGTCTTTTTAAAAAGTGGGCGCTAAAAAGTAAAATAATTAAAATAAAACCCATAAAGTTATTCCTGAACAATAAAATATATTGGTTTTAATTAATTTATTTAAAAATGAATTATGAAATTATTTAGGCAAAAGAAAAAGGGAGAGCAATTAAAACAAATTATAAATTGAAGTTAAAGTTTTTTAAGAGAAATGCAAAAATTAAATGAAATTTTTTTTACAAACTTTCAAATTAAAATACAGGCTTCGTGTTGTTAAACGGCTTGATTTGAATCGACTTAATAAATTGGCCAGAATTTTAGCCAAAATAATATTATGTAAGCCTGAAGATTTCGCTCTTAGGTGGTAGAAAGGTTTACATCTCTATTTGCCAAATCTCGAGGCTTGCATAATATTATTTTGGCTAAAATCTTAATTGGGTCGTTTTTAAAAATCGACCCAAACGGGACGTTTAACAACACTATACTGGTTATATAAATATTTCGTCAAAAAATTTTTTCTATTGATAAAAATGCTATACAGTAAACTCCTTTGAAAATAACATCACTAAAATTGAATTGTCATATTTCTTTGTAAATAAAACTTCAAACTAGATCGCAAATTATTCATCGGAAATCTGGATAAAAGTCTAGGGGAAGATGATGTAAAAAAATATTTTTCTGAATGCGGTGAAATTGAAGAGTGCATTATACTAAGAGGAGTCAATAATGACAGTAAAGGTATATGCAAAAATTTTAATTATTTTATTTTAATTTCCATCTTGCAAGAAACTAAAAATTATATCAGACATTTAATAATTTTTTTTACATTTAAACTATCATTAACAAGGCATTTTACTTTTTATTATAAAAATTAAACTTGTTAACTAATATATATATACATGCGTTATTTTTAAATAATCTTTGTATAACTATAGCTGGTCACTCTAAGTTTAACTTTATTAATTAAGGTCATATTTAAGATTTTATGATTACAATGTTGTGATGATTTAATGAAACTGACGATTAAATTAAAACCCATCCATATAAAATTATTTTCTTTGCAAAAATAATTAAAATATAGAAAAGCATTATTGAAAATTCTTTTATTATTCCTTTTGTTATTTTAATTATTTTTGCAAACAAAATAATTTTATATGGATGAGTTTTAATTTAATCGTCAATATGTTTCATTAAATCATCACAACACTGTAATTAGGAAAATGATATAATATATATGTCGCTTTTAATATTTACCGTTAATAAGTTTAGACTTAAATTATATTAATTTTCTAACATTAAGGATGCGCCTTTGTTATATACTCAAACAATAAAGAGGCAAATGCTGCCATCACTAAGTTTAACAGATCATTTCTAAAGGTAAATTATCATAAATAATAAAATTATATTCCTTCTTTTCTTAGAGATTTTCAAATGTTAATAAAAATTTGGTTCCCTAGAGCCCCCCCCCCCCCTACCAGTACTTCCTTTCTTTAAAAATGGATAGAATTTAGAAAAATAAGGTTCAATTTTTATATTGACTATAATTTCAAGAAAAAAGCATTTAAGTTGAAAAACCAAAATTATCTTAGAAAAAAATGTAACTCAGCCACCTGCGATAAAATGACCTCCAATAGAATTTATGGGGAAAAAATGGCCTTTAAAAAAATGCTGGCGACTCCTTTGTTTCTATTTTATTTAAAACTACTCCTTTATATTTTATAACTATATATTTATAGTTTTAATTTCCTTTTGTAATAACAACCAAAGGCTCAATTTCTTAAACGTTAGAACGCTCTGACCCTAGCTAAGAGAACCCCGAACTTTTTAAAATAAATATTAAAATTTCCATGAAGTGACAACTTAAGGGGAGGGCAAAAGAGGGTTACGGGATAAGTAGAGGCAGGAGATAGTTATATAAAACATTCTGTAAAATTTCAAGTAGAAGAGAGACCTGCCTAAAAAAGCCAAGATATGAAGGGGGTCACATCTTAGGTTTTAGTGTATAAGATTATAAAATATTCATTTTTATTATCAATTTTATATTTATAATTATAGTCTACGCAACTACCTCTACTAGTTAAATTGGCTGACAGTAAGCATGCCAAAGAACTCAAGCGCATAAAGAGAAATATATCACCTGTAGGAAGATCAACCATTTACAACGATAATAAAAATTTGGAATTTTTGAGTGATAAACTAACTAAAAATAGTGAAAAAAATTATTTACAACCTTCTAGAATATATGGACCTTATGCCTCCCATATAAATGCAATAAATTTACTTAAGCCCAGTACTGATTTTCACACGAATATATCCAATGCTATATTGCATGATAAAAGTAATCTTTTTTGCCTAGATTCTGAGAAATATAAAATTGGAGAGGATTACCATATCAATAAGGTAAAAAAAACATATTTATACTATTAAAATTTGTATTTAAAAGCTTTTAGATTTATTGAAAATTCCTGAAACACGAACATATCATCAAAGTAAAATTTATATGTATCATATATTTAATGAAATATATTAAAAAATTATTTTTTGTTTACTTGTTAGATGACTTAATAGACATTGTAAAAGATCTAATATTGGGTAAAGATAGGATGTTAAATGATCGTTTTTATCATAGCAGCCGCAATAGCTCGCAGAATGATTTAAAAAATTTATTGATAAGAAAACTTTTAAATTCAATTATCGGTCCTGAGGAGCAGGTAAGAAAATCATATGGGACTAATATTGATGATTTATTTGAAATCATCTCTAGGAAATTTGACAATCATAACGAACAACATCCATCAAGTTATGATAATTATGATTATATTATTTTTTTAATAAAATAAATAAAATATTTATAATAAATCATTTATATTTTATATTTTGTTTGAATAAAAGTCTCATACGAATTATATTATATCATATATAGAATTATCAGATAATATATCTCGCCAAAACAGACAAACTGAAGGTTTAGTAACATATTATGAAAATGAATTTTTAAATAAATTTCAAGTGTAGGCCCAGAAGGCGCGAACTTATTTATATATCATTTACCATCGGAAGTAAATGATAATGACCTCACCAAAATGTTTGAAAGATATGGGAACGTTCTTTCTGCCAAAGTGTTTATAGATAAAAGAACAATGCTTAGTAAATGTTTTGGTAAGTTTAATGATTGTAAAAATATTTTATAATTGGAGAATATAATATTGTGTAAATAATTTTAATAATGATTAAATTTTTGTTTTAATGTGTTCAAGTTGAATCATTATTTGTTACTGTTTTAAATGCTAATGTCTTATTTATTATCAAATTTAGGATTTGTCAGTTTTACCAATGTCATTTCTGCCAAGGAAGCCATTAAACACATGAATGGTAGACGTTTAGGAAAAAAAAATTTAAAAGTCGAACATAAAATATCAAATTATAGCAACTCGTACAAATGAAATTTATTCATGTTTACGTCCATTAATTAATAATTATAAATTGCATGTCTTAGACAAAATAATATTCGTGTAGATATTCCCATCTTTTTTATAAAATTATTTTTAAAAACATGGAAAGTATATGGTTAAATAAAATCTCTTAACCGTATATATAATATATGTTACTACCTAAATGTTTATCCGTATCCAAGATCATGAATTAGTTTATTAAATATATTACAATTTTATCTATAATATACAAAAAACTATTAAATAATTCTACTAAAAATTGATTAGAAAAAATATTTATATAATGAATAACAAAGACCACTATTATATTTCCAAGGCCGTGTAGGTTAACAGAGAAGATTGTAAAGTTAGCAAACATCTTATAATGTATACAATTATATTGAAAACCTTTATTTGCTAAAATCGAATAAACAAATATGTAAATAAGATTTAAAAAAAGATAAAGTAAATATATTATATTGAAAAAATACTTAATTATTCAAATGTGAAAAAATAGATTGGTTTGAAGGATAGCATTTGCAATATTTTTGAAGAAAATAATTCGCTCAATCGATTCATTTTATTGATTCTCCTAAAATTCTAGCAAAGAATAATAATCAAGGCTAAGGTATTTATTGAAAATTATGGCAGCAGCTTCGGCAAAAAATATCTACAGTTGAAGGCTGTAAAAAAACGTGTCTGTATTAAAGCAGGGGAATAATCCATTTTTTTAAAATATAAATTAGTTAAGAAATAATACAATATCTGTGTATTTTATTGTTTATCTTATATACATTTGTCATTAGAGGGAAATAAAATTATTTTTTCTATTGTTTCAAATAGTTCAATCTTAAAATAAGAGATATCGATATGCCATAGGATCGTTTATTATTAATGTTATAGAAGTTGGTTGGCTTTTTAAGATATACTAAATTTCTAACCTGGATAATAAGAAAAAGAAGAATATAACTTTGAAATGATGAGAGATAACAAAAGTTAATAGACATAGGAAATATTATAATATGAAATGTGGGCAAATGAAGTAGTGTATTCTGTTACAGTAAAAGCCAGATATAGTACATTGATACCAAATTTTTAGGCAATATCGAATCCCAAATCTATATAACCGATACTAACAAAGTATTGGTCACTACCACCGATACCCAATAACGATACTAAAAAAAATAAAAATAATGTATTATAATTGTTTGAAAAAGCAAAGATAAATTCATGAGTGTTATCATATTTTATTAATTATTTATAATAAATTTATGATGTGTATACTAAATTAAAAGAAACAGGGAATTTTTATTAACAGCACCTTAAAAATTTTTATATGATTTTGTTATTAAACTAATTTTTGTTTTATGAAGGTTGAATAATCATTTTTGAGTATCGGCCACTGGTATCGTTTAAAATTTGAAGTATCAACCAATATCAATACAAACCGATACCAAGTATCGATGCATCTTTTGAAAACAGACCAGGTTGTAAATATAAATGGGAAGCAAATTATGTATTTAGAAAGAAATATCCAAATTAAAATAGGAACATCCAATATATAATGAGGTATGTATATGATTGATACGAAAACTTGCAAAGAATTGAGTGGCAATATATACAAGCTCTCAGGGCGTGCTACCACTTAGATCCTCATCCGTCTGTTTAGCCATCTATATTGCTTCCTCTAAACAGCCTAAAAAGAAAGAGGCGATTATAATATTCCATGCCTATGTTTTATTTGTACCGAGAAAGTGTATATATATATAACAAATAATATTTATTTAAACCAAAATAGAGTATAATAGCTCAAACGATAAGCGTAGGCTAAACAGGATAAGTTTCAAAAAATAAACCAAGCGTTGACACTACCTTAAGGCGAATATTTTAATATAAATTTCTGACTATCTTTTATTGAAAATATACAGATTTATTTTTAATTTTTTAAAATAAAATCATCATCCATCAACCTTTCTATCTTATTATATACCAAAGATTTTTTATTATGATTTTTTTCCATAATTTTTTCTACTACATAACATTCTTTTGAGTGTTGAAAATGAAGCTTTCACAATATGATGTTGAAATTTATTGTTGCTGCTTATGTTACCTCTAACAGAATCTGATTTAATAGTTCTTTACCTTTTTGTCATTTTCAAAATGATATCGTGAATAAGCAGATTAGAATAAGGATTAAGTAATAAATTCAAGTATGCCATATTTAAATAATTGGTAAATGACTAAATTAGTTTATATTAATGATATGAGCATAATTGATGTAATATTAAGGATAATTTATGTAAGATTTATATATTTTACATCACTATCACTTTTAAATGTTTAAAATGGTAAAAGGGCAAAATCTGCAAACTTGTGGGGACAAATTTTAAGGGGTCGAGAAGTTGAATAAAAATCTAAAACAGAATACGTTTAAATAAATGAGTGGTCCGGTATGAAAATATTGTGTAAACAATGTACAATTAAATCGTGTACCAATTTTAAGTGTTAGGGAGAATAAAAATTGAGGATATAAAGAAAGACAATAATTAGTGAGTAATCAAAGGGAATGCATTCTAGATTGCTGGTAAAAGAGTCTAAGAGCCAATTTCAGGGATAATTTTATACTAATCCACTAGTGATTTAGTTACATATCATGTTTGGTGAGAAAACTTGAATTAAGGTAAAAAAGATTCGAAAGAATATTAGATAAGCTAGAATGATATTATATAATGGTTTAAGATTGATTATTTATTTAAAAATTCATATAATAATTTCTCTACGGGGGATAATCATTGGATTGCTAATCGCCAATGAGAAAAATTTTTGAAGAACCTTTTTGAAGAGATTTCTCAATTGGAGAAGTCGATGGCCAATTACTAAAAATATTTATTTGTAAATGTTCCGAATAGGTATTCAAGACACCGTGATTAGGGAGTGTCAGCAGGGGTGAGTGCCCTGAACCGTCAAATTTATTGAAATTTTATGATTTTTTTTGGAAATAACCTCCTTTCAATTCCAACTCTTTATATCATAATATTAATCTAAACTAATTAGTAATTAATATTAAAATAGGTATTTCAATTTTATTTGCAAGAAAATCCATTCTAATAACAAATAACTTGCAGGCGCGTAGCCAGCGAGTTCCTCCCCGAAGTAAATTTATAAATGGTTTTCATGAATAGTGAATTGAAAAATATTATATTTCAAATAGGTTACATTCTATTTTAAATTTTAGCAAAAAACTAAAATTAATTTAAAACATTGGTGAATACAGAATAATTTATAAAATATTCTCTTTAATTTATTTCTACTAATAAGGAACTAGAAAGTATATTTTGAATGTCCTTGGATAAATATTAGAATGGCTTATCAGATATTTCACCTGAAGCAGATACATTATTAGATTCAATATGGCAGCCGATTTTTTTTTGCATTGAAATGTGTTAATAAACAATATTTTTCAAAAAAATGATTAGATTTGGCTGAAGCTATAAGAATGTTATTATATTACCACTTAAAAAAACTAAGAGATAATATCGACCATCTCAAGTGATTTATTGTGATTGTTGAAGAGAAAACGAAATTACATGATTCTGAAATTCGCATGCTAAGCTTTCCCATAAAATAAATGGTTAATTCTAACGTGAACTTATATGATGATTACTATAAGATGATAGTTGGTATATTTTGAAATCACTGAACGATTTGTGATTCATCAAATATCTCTATCCAAATTAAAAATACAATTACTTATATATCCTTCTGAGGATATATTAAATCTTGATATTGAAAAAATTAAATATCTTACTACATTTTATTAAGAGGATATATCGGAAGGTCTATTAATTTCAGAATTTAAATCTTCTTATGAAGAAAGATTAATAATGTATATAATCCAAGAAATGCAATGGAATTTTTGCATACATTAAAATATATTTGTTAGATGTTTTTATACTAAAAAGACAAGTATAATTGTGTTTAAAAATTTTAAAGTTTAAACATGAAAAATGGATAATAATATATGGAAGTTAAAACTTTATTTTAATATTTAGGAAAGTTTCAGATTGATATGTAAAATGTAAGGCTTAAATATATATTATGACTATATTAGTAATATTACCCCCATTGGGGTTAGTAGAATCGGGGCTTGTTGGTGCAATCAATCAATTAATTTTTATAATATTATTATGGTACTCAAATATATAAAATTCCAAATAGGAAAATTTTCACCATAAAGGATTATGAAGAAGCAATAAAAATCAAAAAAAGAAACATCTATTACAGGTTAAAATATAAAATTTTATAAATTTAATATATAAATTGATTATTATATAAATTTTTCGATGTAATTTTTTTTAATATAATATTAGACATAACTAAATATCTTGCAAACTAAAATCTTCATATATATATATATTTATATATCTATAGTAATTGATAATATAATTTGATTCAAATTATTACATTTAAATATATAAGAATTATTATCAGGATATTTATTTTGGCCTGGTAATAAGATTCAATTAATGTTATATATTTAAATATAAAGTTAGATAAATTTTGAGTGAATTTATTATTTATTTTATTAGGTATACCTAAAATTTTTAAAACATTATAAATATATAAAAGGCCAAGATAATAAACAAAATATTTGATGATCTGGAGGAAAATAAAATGGTTGAATCTAATTTAATGAAGTAAATTTATGGCTTACCTGTTAAAGGTATTAAAGATATTATGGCCAGATATTTACCTCATCCCCATTCAAGAAGCAGCTTTTAATAAAACAGCAGAATAAAAAATAAAAAAAAACATTGTTAAAATATTAATAAAAGATGTTTGTATTATATGCAAACAGGACTATAAAATTTTCATAATTTTGAAGATTGGTTTCAATGCAATGCAGAGTATGGTTGGGCGCATGGATCCTGTGCCAAAAAAAGATTACTATTTTATTTGTTATAATTGTAGGAATATTATACAAATAAAGCATATATAAAAATCTGAAGAAATTTTTTGTGTCTCATAGGAAGCCTAATAAACCACTTGAT